TCCCTCCAACTTACCAAGCACAGTGGTCTGGTGTGCCTTTATTGCAGAGATTCTCTTCACTTTTTCAGTGGGCTTCAGTTTTCATCAGGGAGCCTGAGAGAGGCCCTCTCTCTGTTGTTCACTTCTGCAGCTCAGGACAATGGCTTTATGTCCCCCTGTGCCTCTGTATTGTCGAACCAGGTAGCTGCACAGCCAAGAGGCCAGAGCCGGGGTGGGGTCAGGGGGGCAGGTATTGCAGGTGCCTGCACTGGTAGGCTGGCTGCTGATGAGTGTGCCGAGGGTTCCTCACCATCTCTCTTTTCCCAGGTGGTTTTGGCAAGCCAAATTGATGAAGGGTTTTCTTTTGGCAGTCCTCTGATGAATAATTGTAACATGTGTCTTATACTTGTGGACTGGTTAGTGGAGAGATTAAGGACAGTTTCTGTTTTGTACTCCATGCCAAAATTTATTAATGCAATTCAAAGTTACATCAACTGTTTCTTCTCCACATTGTATAGTTAAATTATAATGAGTTTGCTATTAACAAAACCTTCCATTTCACCTCTTAATTTTCTTGGATAAGTCACTTTTTTGCTTATTACATTCATAGACTAACATATTTCCATGTCCTAGCTTAGTGATTGAAGTTAGACACACTCCTCAAAGACTTTAGAATTTTCTGAAATATCATGCATGCAAATAGTCTTGCACTACAGTGTGACAGTGACAGATGTTTCAATGGAGATGTGCAAAGAATGTATGGTAACAGAAAGGAAAGACACTTAATTCTTACAGTGGGGACAGAAGATGTGAGTATGTCAGTGAAGATAGAGGAGGTAGACAAAAATTGTCAGGAAAATGCTTATGGAGGAGAAAATGTTTTAACTAGAACCAAGGTCCCAGCCACCAAGTGAGTGAAAAAGAATGCTTTAAGTAGAAGGGATGACTTGTACTCTAGCATAAAACATCACGAACGTTCTGTGAACTACACAGGGCTGAGTATGGCCATAGCATGCCAAGCACACAGGAATTGGTGGCAGAGAGGCTGACTAAGTACATGGGTACCAATTCTTCTGTACGTTTCATGTGATAGTATGGAATTAATATTAACCTTATAAATAATGAGCTCATATGAAAAGATTTTAAATCAGAGAGGACATGATTAGGTAGATGTACACTGAAAAAAGTACTAGAGTGGTAACCTTTGTAGTGTGATCTGAGAATTGCAGGAAGCAAGGGTAGAGATGGGGTGGGTAATGGAGGCTGTTCCCATCTTACTAGTGAGAAAAAGCATGGAATCAAGACCAAGCCATGGCCATAGGAATTTAAAATAGGGGACTCTTTAGAGAGACTTACCACATAGATATATTTTGAATACTTAGGCACTTTGAGCACTTTCTTTTGTAGAAAATTGCTTACTAGAGAAGATTGAATCTAGGCCCATATCTCTCACAGTGTCCTAAACTAAATTCGAAATGGATCGAAGATCTAAATGTTAAAACAGGAACACTTAATCTGCTGGAAGATAAAACAGGTACAACTCTCGAAGACAAGAGGCAAGGAATTTCTGAGCAGAACCATAATTACACAAGAAATAATACCATGAACCAAAAAATGAGATCATACCAAATTAAAAAGCTTCTGCACAGCAGAGGAATCAACCAATAGAGTGAAGAGACAATCTACAGAATGGCAAAATTTTTAGTAGCTACTCCTTGGATAGAGAGCTAATATCAAGACTATATAAAGAAGTCAAAAATATTATGCCTCCCCAGATAAAAGATCCAATCAATAAATGGCCAATTAAAATAAATGTACACTTCTCAGAAGAAGTACAAATGGCCAATAAATACATGAAAAAATGTTCAACATGTCTGGCCATTAGAGAAATGCAAATTAAACCAACACTGAGATTCTACCTTACTGTGGAAAGAATGGCCATCATCAAGAAATCAAATAATAACAAATGCTGTTAAGACTGTTGGGAAGAAGGAACTCTTCTGCATGGTTGGTGAGAATGTAAATTAGTACATCCACTATGGAAATTGGTATAGAGATTCCTCAATAAAGTATAAATAGGAATTTCAATTGACCTAGCTATTCTTTTCCTGAAAGAGTTACATACATACCCAGGTTTATAGCTGTATGCTTCATAATAGCTAAATCTTGGAAGCACTCTATATTTCCATCAGTAGATGGATGGATTAAAAAAAGTGGTATTTATACATAATGGAGTACTATTTCACCATAAAAAGGATAGACTTGAGCCATTTGTAGGAAAATGTATGCACCTTGAGACCATAATGTTAAGTGAGATAAATTAGACAGAAAAGATTAAATATCTTTTGATTTCTCCTGTATGAGAAATCTAAAATATAAAGAGCAAAATAAAAGATAGATAATAGGAAATAGAGAGCTAGCTCTTTTGAAAAAGGGAAGGAGACCAAGAAATGGAAGGATGAGGAAGAATAGGGGATAAAAAAGGATTAAGATGCATCACGTACACATAGCAACTCTTCATGAGGAATTTAGTCATTATGTATGGCAAACGTACCAATAAAAAAAATTTATGTAAAAAACAATAAAAAAGAAAACTGCCTTCTACCAATCAGGGGAATGTATCTTCCCATCTTTGGATCATAAAACCCAGGTGGTTGTGCCAGGAAAAGGGAGGAACTCAGACTCCACCCAGGTCAAGGTGATGGGGTGGGTAATGCTGTCATAAGGTAGGGCACAAAGCACTAAGTTGGAGGGTGAGGAACCCTTTCAGACCTGTTACCAAGAAACATCCCAGTGGAAACAGGCAACAAGCCTTTGGCTATGTGTGAGAAACTCAGGAAGGGGCATTTTTGTGCTAAGTGAACCCATGAATCATCAATATATAGAGGACAGTTGGAACTTGAATATGCAATAGGTAAACCAGAAGAGAGCTGAAGGTGATAATGGACGTGTGGAGAAGGTTAGCCTTACAAGATGATCTTGAAAGACATGTTAGACAGAGAGCTGGTTAAAAACTTGGAGAAAATATTTTCATGGAGCTCATGGCAGAAAGCATTTACAATGCTCACAGAACATTTTGTAATACTGTGAAGTAGTGTTGGACATGGCTGTAGGAAATGTACTTTTGAAATAGTGATCTGTAGAACTGTCCCTTTTAAGGTGGGTCAGCTCATTTTGTAGAAAATTGCCAGCTAGAGATCAGGGGAGTATGTCCTTCCATCCACTGAACCTAATTCTAGTATATTCTGAATCTTCACATTCTGCATTGGGGTCGTGGCTAATTTTCAGTTAGAATGGGGTTAGAATTTCTTCTCTGTTTGTCCTTTGTTTTGTTTTCATAGAGCAGAATTCAGATAGAAGTGACTTTTCTACTGAAGTCTCACAGTTCCTGTAAAAATTCAAGCCATCTAAAAAGTAGTATCTACAGCAATTTTGTTTTTACTTTTAAATTGAACTCTGAATTTTTCATGCATTTGGATAATGGCTTCCTTTGGAGCAGAAAGAAGATATACTTATCTTAATGTCCCCAGGGCTCAACCCAAGAGAGCCCAGCCTTCAGAAGTGCTCAACAAATGCTTATTTTTGTCTTCCTTCTTTATGATTGATTACATAGGTCCATTTTAGAGAGCTTCCAAGCTGTTTTGAATCTTATTACCTTGCAGGGTCGCAGGTCACTCAATCAGCCAGTCCTTCCATGTTAGTTTTGAGTAAGCTGCAGGACTTTATTGAGGTCCTTGTACACCCTTTGGGAGACAGAATTAGGAGGAAGGAAGTCATGGGCATTGGTTTTCTGATGATGATCAGTTGATGGCTTCGCAGGTCTCTGCTCTTACTTCCCTCTGAGATTTGCATCAAGAATGAGTTGACACCCCCTGCCCCATGCCCCATGGTGTATTACATATATACTTCCAAAAAAGTATCAGTGGGCTCTTCCTAGATTTAAGAAAAGCTGTGTTGTATTTTCATTTGTATATTGCTTTGTTTGCTATTTTAAGGCTTCTCAATTTTCTTGCTGCTCTTTTCTTTTGGTGTTCATTTCTATGACTATTGCTAGAAGAGGGTAGGAATTGGGAGGCCTTCTGCCTATCCTAGGTTCAGCTCTTTTCACTTTTTCAGAGCTCTATAAATTTAGGGTTTGCCCTGGCTGTGGCAGGAGGCAGTGGGACCAACAATGATATTTGCTCATTCTCCTCATATGCACAGAAGGATTTCTTGTTTGCTTCCTGGAAGACTAGGTTTCTTTCTCCTGAAGTTCTGATGTTCATAGCTATTTCTGCATTCTGAGTGTATTATGCTTGAGCAATTTTCTTTAATTTTTTTTATTTGTACATGGTTGTAGTACATAATGATTACATTCATGGTGGGAAGTTGGAATAATACATCTTAATTCTTTTTTTGATGTTGTTGCTTAAATTCTTTTATTGGTACATTTTAGGTATACAATACGTTTACGTTTATCACTGGGTGTTTGTACCTGTACATGATGTATTTTGGTTCTTATTTTTTCCCCATCCCCTGTGCACCCTTCCCTATTTACATAGACTTCGTTTCCATTTTTTCCTTTTCTCATAATTTTTCCTTTCCCTTCTCTCAATTCTTTTTTCATCCCCTTCCCTTCCCCTCCCTCCTTCTATCTCTTGGTCCTCTTCCCTTTTGCAAAAGATCTGCTTTCTGTTTTCTATTATCTGTCTTTTATTTTTACTTTTTAAATTATTTATACTTAGATTTCTCATTCTTTGGTTATTTCATATTCCACATATGAAAATAATTTTTTAGTCTTTTTCTAATGGAAAATTGTTTTATGTAATAAAATTTTCAAAAATCTTACTTCTGAGTAGGGTGGAATTAGCATTTTTAAAAAAGTTTATTATTTTGGCTCTTTTATTTTCTTACAGACAGACTTCGTATGTATATATTCTTAATATATAAATGAGTGATCAAGTTCACAGAAGTGACCTATTGTATTGATTGTGGCTTTTTCTTTTCTGAAAGTGAGATTTCATTTCTTTTCTTTTATTCAGGGAATCAGCAGTCTCTTCAGTTCTTTAAAAGTGGTGCGTCTGTTACGATTGGGCCGTGTTGCCAGGAAGCTGGACCATTACCTAGAATATGGAGCTGCAGTCCTTGTACTCCTGGTGTGTGTATTTGGACTGGTTGCCCACTGGCTGGCCTGCATATGGTATAGCATTGGAGACTACGAGGTCATCGATGAGGTCACCAACACCATCCAGATAGACAGTTGGCTGTACCAGCTGGCCTTGAGCATTGGGACTCCGTATCGATACAATTCCAGTGCAGGGATATGGGAAGGAGGACCCAGCAAGGATTCTCTGTATGTGTCCTCTCTCTACTTTACCATGACAAGCCTTACAACCATAGGGTTTGGAAACATAGCTCCTACCACAGATGTGGAGAAGATGTTTTCAGTGGCCATGATGATGGTGGGCTGTAAGTATCTTGCTTTCCTTTTTTCTTTCTCAAAAATGGTTGATGTTCAGAATCTTCCTGATTCCCATCTCTGACAGGATAAAAATGAACTATTTTGTCTTCAGAAAGGTGTCTTAATCTATATCACTTACAATTGGTTTAAGTTTTATTCCAACTTAGAAAATAAAAATGCAAATACTATATTTCACTACGTAGAATGTGTTGACACATGAAAAATAGTATGGATAGAGCAGTGATGGCGGAGCTTTTAGAGTTTTTTAGACAGACTGCTGCAGTGCGTGTGCTATAGGCCCACCATCACTGGGACAGAGTAGCACAAAATCCAGAATGGGAACTCTGTGATTTAATTCTCTTTACAGTGCTGTACCTGGCTGAGTGCTCTTGAATGAACTGGTACCAGCATCTAGAGAGGAGGTATCTGGCACTTTCTGTAGGTTTTGTTGCAGTGTATTACATTCCAAAAAAATAGACAGGATTTGATGTGAGATACACAGTTTAGACAATATTTTAGTTAATATCTGAGTTCCAGAATGAAAGTTGATCTTCGGATATGTAAGTTTTTACAATTAAGACTACCCCAAAATGTTTATAAATCTAGTGTCTGTTAATATACTCTAGGTGGAATATATGACTGAGAGAATGAGTGATTTAGCAGAGATAAGTGTCTGAAGTTTTAAGTGTCTTCATGGTGTTCCTGGAAGTTCCTGGAAGCTCCCTTTCAGGAGCTCAAACACCGTTGTTCTGTGCTTAGATTGAAGCTGGATGGCACCAGAAGACCAGAACATTAAGGAAATACATACCCAAGAATCTGTTCTAAGACACCCTGAGAAAGACTTCACCATCACCTATACCTTTAAGTTGACTCTGATTTGTGCAAGTCTAGTTCTGATACCGAGGGCAACCTTAAGATTGTTGTACTAAAAGTGTAATTAGTGTTATTAGCATATTATAAGCCTTGAGATCATGGTCACTGGGTTTTGACCTAAGCCATCTTTTTTTTTTGACAGTACACATTACAGAGGCTTAGATTTTGACATTGGGAAAGATATTAGAGGGCATTGACTGGTCCTTTAAAGGTGAATAGCTCAGGTCTAAGAAACTAAGTTTGATAGGTCAGAATATTTGAGAGCTATCAGAGCACCAATGTTAGCAGCTATTAGCTTCTGTCATACTAATCCTTCTGTGTAAAGATACAGAAAACAAACAAACAAAAAGAACTCACAGGTTCTATTTGCAGGTTAGAGCTTGTTTAGTGCGAGCATTAAATTCCAAATGCTATTTGCTCTAGATGCTTTCAGGAGGAAGATGTTCTAATACACACAGAAATTTTGATGGTTAATTGAACTGATATTTAACATACCAAAGATGTCTTGGTAAGCTGTATTGGGAAAAAGGTGCTTCATAAATTCTGATGACAACATTTTGTCAGATATATTATTTAGTATTGTACTGCTTTTAACATTTATGCAATGCATTTTGCCTTTCGCTTTGCATAGTTAGATTTTATAAAATCATTTTTTATTTTGAAGTAATTGTAGATTGACTGGAGGTTGCAAAGATGGTACAGAGAGAGCCTTTGCTCTCTTGTTTCCTCCATCTTCTATAAGTATAGCAAAATATCAAATTGACCTTGGTACCATGAGTATGTGTAATTTGTAGTAAAGTTGAGACACAGAACTGTTCTATTACCACAAATCTCTCCCTCGCGTAACCTTCTTTTCCAGCCATCTCTAGACCTTGAAAACTAATAATCTATTCTCTGTCTCTATGATCTTGTGATTTTTGAGAATGTAATGTGAATGGAATCATGTCAAAACGTGACTTTTTGAAATTGGCTTCTTCCACTTAGCGTAATGCCCTTGACAGCCATCTAAATTGAATGAATTGAATAATTTCTTCCTTTTTATTTCTGAGTAGTATTTCATTGTTTTTTATATAACATTGTTTAACCATTCATCTACTGAAGGACGTTTTTGTTGTTTCTATTTTGGGGTTGTTACAAATGAAGCTGTGAATAGGTTTTTTATATGGGTATAAGCTCTGAAGTCTCTGAAATAAATGCTTAGGAATACAATCATATATATGTATCCAAACTATTTTGCAGAATGGATATTGTAGCATAGTTTTTGATAAGAGAATCATAGGAAAATAGAATCTACCTAGAGTCAAGGGACACCCTTATTCACTTTGTTTCTCAGGCTCTAAAGCTAAGAATCACGTTAAATTCCTGTGTTTTCATGTGTTACATCTATGCATGACAAGGCCTCTTGGCTTGGCCTTCAAAATACATTTGCTTAAATCTCTTTACTTCCATAGCTTATCACCCAAGACCAAGTCGCCAGCACCACTGATCTGAACTTTGAAGTAACTTATATGTTCTTCCTGTTGCTCTTCTTGCCTTCCAATCTCTTCTTAGAAGCCAGTGTCCCTCTTAAAGTAAATTAAATCATGCTGTTCCTCTGCTCAAGTCCCTCCACTGCACATAAAATGAATTCCAGATTCCCCACTCCATCTTTCAAGACCTTACAGATGTAACCCTTGTCTGTCTTACTCGCATTACTTTCTACTGTTCCTGCTTTGCTACTGTTGCGAATCTATCCTAGCTATCCTGTCTCTAAACACATCAAGTTTTGTACTGTGTAAGGGTCTTTATCGTTGTTTCCCCACTGCTAATTATGCTCCTCTCCGGACTTCCTTCCTGAATTCATACAGCTGTCCACCAAATCACTGTTTCAGAAGTTTCTCCCAACGCTATCCTAGTATAAAAACCACCCCAGTGCTAACACCCATACTCTCATTTCCTTCACTTTATCTACCAAGAACTGAAATCATGTTTAATCTTCTCTTCCTTTTCCTTCAGAATGTAAGCCCCACAGGAGTAGGGCCTTTGATGACATTTTTCTACTGATGTGTCCTTAACATCTAAATGATTGTGGGCAGCTCCATGCTCAATTTTAATTTGCTTCATGAATGAATGAGCTGAGGATGCCCCTGGCAGATATGATGGGATTTCCCATCCTTACACCCTCCCTGGGGAGGTCTCCGATGGAGGTGCCTGCCAGGATATCTTCACAACCCTAAGTCTTTTGTGAAAGACTCGGTGAGCTCACCTGTATTTTCTTTTTAGGTTGTAGTTATTTTAGCTGGCTTATCTAGCCTCAAGCCTTTCCTTGGCCTATTGCTATGTTTCAAGAAGCACCGACTCTTTCTCTCATCCCTTTAGATTGTCTACCTTTCCTACCTGTGGAGGAAATTTTCACATAGATTCAGTTGGGGTTTGGAAACTTTGATTCAGAATTGGTTCTGTTTCTCCTCTACTTCATGTATGGACAATTATACTTGCTAAATCTACATTTTTTTCCTCACCTCTTTTCTGAAGTTCCTGTCTTGATTTCAAGATGAAACCCTAGTTTTAAACTTGGTCTTTTTCTTTCCCTGGTTTATGCTGTCTCTTTTCAATCCTCTCACCTCCTCCCCCTCCCCCCTCTTCCTTCCTTCCTTCCTTCCTTCCTTCTTCTCTCCTTCTCTTCTTCCTTTTGTACTGGAGATTGTACCTGGAGCTTTTGCCGTGAACTACATTCCCAGCCTTTAAATTGTTTTTATTTTAAAATTTGAGACAAAGTCTCACTCGGATTCTCAAGCTAGGAACATGTGATCCTCCTGCCTCAGCCTCCTGGAGTGCAGGGATTACAGGTGTGTGCCACTTTGCCTAGGTAAGTCCAGTTTCCATGCCAAGAATTTTCCAGAGAGATATCTTTTAATTTTTTTTTTAGGTTTTGGATCTGTGGTAATTTCATGACATATCCTTTTAATAAACTTAAAAGATAATATTAATCTGTCTAAACTCATGAAGTGTTATAATGACTTTGCACAGTTCCAAGTTTCTTTGAGACACATGCATAAAATATCACCCAATGTGAATGTTGTGGTTGTTCATTAGCTTAATATTATTTTTCCTATTGTCTTCCTATGGAAGACAAACAAAATGAATCACAAGTGTTTTAGAACCCAATATGTGCTCTCAGGAATTTTGAGATGTGAAGGGGAGGAGGAAAAGGAAAGAGAGGTAGGAAGCACAAAGATTCATGCTTTCGTCTCTGCTAGGAGTCTGCTTTGCTGGCAATGGGAAAAGCAACACTTGTGACTTATAACTCAGAAACTATGGAAAACCTTTTGTCAAAAAGTTGATAGAGACATCAACCACTTAAATTCTGTTGAGAAAAAAATAGTTGCTACTTGTAAGTGATAGATTCTGTTTCTGGAGAAAGCTATTGTTTGCTTCCAGTAAAACTTAGAAATTTTAGTGCCAGCAAATCCAGCTCCTAGTCCTTTGGAAGCACGCCTCTTTCTCTTATGGTCTTCTCTCATGGCCTCCTAGGTTCTTGCCAATAATGGTAAATTGACTGTGAACTCTGTTCAGGAATTTAGTCTCAAGGTTCCTCTTGTTTATACCAGAAAAATCATCAAGAGAAATTACTGACTGTGGCCTCTCCTGATTCCAACTTCCTGAGCTCCCCTCCAGTTTGCTCCCATGTCTGCAGGAGCCCAGGACATTTCTCTTCCCTGATACCTAAGAGTTTCTTAGACTTAAAGCCTTTGTTCTTCTCTTTACCCCATGTGTGGAATCTTTGTGTTCACATTTCTGAACTCGTTGCTCGGTTCTTCTCAACATATGCCTATCATCATGTATTCTGTCTTTTTTTTTTTTGGTACCAGGGATTGAACTCGGGACCTTGTGCTTGTGAGGCAGGCGGCTGAACCACTGAGCTAAATCCCTGGCCCATCATGCATTCTTTACCTTTCAGAGTTTGCAGCGCATGATGCTGGGTGACCTGCACAGCTCAGGGGGCAGCCAGCACCACCACACACAGCCAGGTCCTCTCTATTTCTCTGTGTCTGTCCCTTCAGGAATTGATCCAACTGTTCTGCTGGTGTTCATGGAATCCACTATTGAAGGGCATTAGTGAAGGAGAATATTTTTGCAGTTCAGCTCTGTGGTA